GCAGCAGCGGTGTTACATGGGAGCGACGAGTCCCTCCCAACACCGCCCGCGCGGCCGCATTCTGGACCAGTTGGAGCCTCCGGGTGCTCCTCAAGGGGAGCCCCATGTAGAGAGCATTACAGTAGTCCAGGCGGGAGGTGACGAGGGCATGAGTGACTGTGCGCAGGGCGTCCCGGTCCAGAAAAGGCCGCAACTGGTGGATCAGGCGTACCTGATAAAACGCCCCCCTGGTCACGGCCGACAACTGGTCTTCCAGCGTCAGCCGCGAATCCAGGAGGACCCCCAGATTGCGTACCCTCTCCGAGGGGGCCAAAAAGTCATGACAGTTGCAGGGTCCTGGGTTCAGATGCAACATCCCCATGGCCCCATGAGCAAAATTTGGATGCACATAGAAGCAGTCCTTGACTTATAACAGTTCACTTAGTGACCAAACTGACAGTAGCACTGAAAAAAGTCACTTCTGAGCGTTTTTCACTCTTACGACCCTTGCAGAGGTAGTCCTTGACTTATAACAGTTCATTTAGCGACTGTTCAAAGTTACAACAGCACTGAAGAAAGGGACTTATGACCGTTTTTCACCCTTGTGATCCTTGCAGCATCCCCCATGCTCAGGTGATCAAAATTCAGACGCCTGGCAGCTGACTCATAATTACGACGGTCGCAGGGTCCTGGGGTCACGTGATCCCCTTTTGTGACCTTCTGGCAAGCAAAGTCATTGGGGGAAGCCCAGATTCGCTTAATGACTGTGTTACTAACCTAACAACTGCAGTGATTCACTTAACAGGGATTCACTTAACAACTGTGGTGAAAAAGGTTGTAAAATTGTGCAAAATTCACATAACAACATAAATTTTTAGCTCAATAGTGGTCGTAAGTCGAGAACTACATGTACTAGTAACTGAGAGGGACCTCGGAGTCCTACTGGACAATCCCTTAAATAGGAGCCAGCCGTGTGCTGCAGCTGCCAAAAAAGCCAACACAGTGCTAGGCTGCATTAACAGAGGGATAGAATCCAGATCACGTGAAGTATTAATACCGCTTTACAAGGCCTTGGGTAAGGCCACACTTGGAATACTGCATCCAGTTTTGGTCACCACGATGTAAAAAAGATGCTGAGACTCTGGAAAGAGTGCAGAGAAGAGCAACAAAGATGATCAGGGGACTGGAGGATGAAACATATAAGGAACGGTTGCTGGAATTGGGTCTGTCTAGTTTAAGGAAGAGAAGGATGAGGGGGGGGGGACATGATAGCAGTCTTCCAGTATCTCAGGGGCTGCCCCAAAGAAGAGGGAGTCAAGCTATTCTCCAAAGCGCCTGAAGGCAGGACAAGAAGCAAGAAGGATGGGAACCAACCAAGGAGGGGTCAGCCTAGAACGAAGGAGAGATTTCCTGACAGTAAGAATAATTAACCAGTGGAACTGCTTGCCTCCAGAAATTGTGAATGCTCCAACACTGGAGGTCTTTAACAATTCAGGCACTTAGCAACTGGGATGCATTCATGATGGTTGTTGTGTCCCCAGGGTCATGTGATCTCCATTTGCCACCGTCCCAGCTGGCTTCCAAAAAGCAGTCAACGGGGGAAGCCAGATTCACTTAATGACCACCTGATTCGCTTAACAAGTGCAGTGGTTCGCTTTGCACGGGTGGCGAAAGAAAAGTCATAAAATCAGGAATGAGGACCCACATTGTTGGGGGACGAATAGGCTGACTCTGTAAAGCGCTTAGAGAAGGCTGTGAAGCGGTGTATAAGTACTATTGCTATCTTGCTTTACAACGGAAATTGAGTTCCCTACGGTGGTCGTAATTTGAGAACTCCCAGTATTAAGAAGCTTAGGCGGCACTTTTCACTCCGAAATCCTTTCCAAATAAACTATGGTTGAAGCTCTTTTATTATATGAAATTTTATGAAAACCCCAGCAACCTTTCTGGATAAATTTGATATTCCTTTCAACTTTCCCATTTTTTTTCTCTCTCTCTTCCAAATAAAACTGAAAAAGTACCATTTGGGTTCCCAGCTCTGAGCTCAGGGTTACTTCCTAAATTCTCCCCTGGAGGCCTTGCCCTTCATTCCTGGCTTATCAGCAGAAGCCTCCTTTCCCACACTGGAAAGAGAAAAAAGAATTCACGGGGTCTTCCTTTGAGGCTGAGACAAAACAAAACACAGG